AAATATATATTATAATTTTAACTCATAGTAGGTATAAATTAATTTAGGCTATCTCGTTGGTAGTGGTCGCAAATTCGGCTGCCGATCAAAACGTTCGATTATACTGTGGCAGTGTTCTTTACTTTGCCTGAGCCCCGTCGTGTCCCAAGGGAAGCGATCGATGACGGTGACTCCTTGTGGCCGGCCTTAGTTCAGGCTATGTTGCGGCGCGAAGGGAACTGGGAAGCAGTCTTGCAAAAGAATGCTCAGGGCGCCGGTGATTGCTCGATTTTCTCCGGCTACAGTAGCGTAGCTCTCTGCCCAACCAGAACCAAACCCGAGCTCAAAAAGGTATAACACCATAGATGGGATATAAGATCAATGTCCAACTAGGGTTGCGAGTGGAAGTGCAATGATACACCACGGCCCGACTTGGAGCGGAAGGAAAACCAGAATGGTTTTTAGTCATTAAGAATCAAACATCTGTCCCTCTTGTTTTACCGGAGGACCAAAGGGAGAAGGCATAAATTCGCGCGTGCGTTCGTGCAGCGGAATGTTGTTGAATTTAAAGATTTTAATTATGCAGATATTTAGTGTATGACGTCGTATAATTGTGTATGGTAAAAAAAAATTTGTGCACGCAACCATTGTGGAGAAATTCACCGAAAACTGATTCCGCTGGGCGAACGTTGTCCTGGCGGAACTTTTTTTAATCCATAGACTTTAGAAGAAAAGAGATGTATCCAAAAATTAGTGTGTATTTGTGTGTAATTGTGTATGTATGAATAAAACTAGTGCATGCATAAACTTCGGAGAAATTCAAGTTTCCGCTACGCGAACGTTTGGCCATTACCTAGTTTTCATATAAAGCGCTTACATAGAGAGCTGTAGATTTTTACATACGTTGTTTTGAATTTGTGTATATTTGTTTAAAAAACAGATTTAGAAAAAATCGTAGGGTTTAAAAGATAAAAATATAAACGTAAAATACGCTTATTAGGTCTTAGTTCTTAAAGTATGCACTTTGGGGTCTAGATTTTCACGTTTATACAAACCTTGGTAGTGTCTGCAACATGTTGCCAAGTATCAAGGATGTTCCGTTAGTAATTAAATAGTTATAGGACAAATTTACCATGAATAGATCACTGTTTACGAAGCAGTCAAATATCACGACTTTCTAAATGAATTGCATGGTAAAATGTATGCCAATAATTAGTGTATTCATTCAAGTATTCACATGCAAAATTTCATGTCATTAAATTCAGTAATTAAAGAAAAACAATTATAATACTGACGAAGCATCGAAAACCTACATAACCCGACCAAGTCCGGATGGCTACAAAAAAGCGGCTTTGCAATATATTTAGGTAACATCCCAAAATTTACAGTATAATACCGGTATTGAATTGGTACAGGTGATAACACACTTGTTGTTTCGAAATAATTCATAGGTCATTTATTTTTGGACACCTACTTTTTTAAATGTATGTGACTATGACAGAAAGTAGGTACTTTATTTAAGTATGCGCTTGAGACTTGAGATTTATTCTAATTATATTAATTAAGACAAATAAAATTCATACAGCTAATTTCTATTGAAGATTTCACGGATCAGGATTCTAACTATAAACCCCTTAGGGAAATTAAATATTTACCACATGTAAGTATGTACTACTGTTTAGGTAAATATTTATCATATTGTAGCTTATTACACTATTTAACCAATATTTTTTATTACACTATTTGACCAATAGACTAGGCATGCACGAGCGTGTGTACGATACTGTGTTTTATTTTTTCCTAACGCTTGTGTACGATACTGTACCATATTAATAAATGCTATACTGGAAAGTTAAGAACGTTTCTTAGATATATGGCACGGCCGCTTTTTTGTAGCCATCCGAACTTGGTCGGGTCATGTAGGTTTTCGGTGCTTCGTCAGTATTGTAATTGTTTTTCTTTAATTACTGAATTTAATGACATGAAATTTTGCATGTGAATAGTTGAATGAATACACTAATTATTGGCATACATTTTACCATGCAATTCATTTAGGAAGTCGTGATATTTGACTGCTTTGTAAACAGTGATCTATTCATGGTAAATTTGTCCTATAACTATTTAATTACTAACGGAACATCCTTGATACTTGGCAACATGTTGCAGACACTTACAAGGTTTGTATAAACGTGAAAATCTAGACCCCAAAGTGCATACTTTAAGAACTAAGACCTAATAAGCGTATTTTACGTTTATATTTTTATCTTTTAAACCCTACGATTTTTTCTAAATCTGTTTTTTAAACAAATATACACAAATTCAAAACAACGTATGTAAAAATCTACAGCTCTCTATGTAAGCGCTTTATATGAAAACTAGCTAATGGCCAAACGTTCGCGTAGCGGAAACTTGAATTTCTTCGAAGTTTATGCATGCACTAGTTTTATTCATACATACACAATTACACACAAATACACACTAATTTTTGGATACATCTCTTTTCTTCTAAAGTCTATGGATTAAAAAAAGTTCCGCCAGGACAACGTTCGCCCAGCGGAATCAGTTTTTGGTGAATTTCTCCACAATGGTTGCGTGCACAATTTTTTTTTTACCATACACAATTATACGACGTCATACACTAAATATGTGCATAATTAAAATCTTTAAATTCAACAACATTCCGCTGCACGAACGCACGCTAAATTCGCCCCTCAAAAAAGTATTCATAGGTTACTTTTTAGTTTCCCGAATTTTTTTACTTATAGCAGGATTTTTTTTACTACTAGCAGGAATTTTATCCGGTAAGTGCATAACAACAGACTCACCCCTATTACATGGTAGGTAGGAACCTACCATGATGTGCACAAAATACCGCCAAATGTTCATGACCAAAGTGTTGTAAAGAGGTGGTGCAGAGTGGCGGTATTTTGTGCACATTTGTTTACCCGTTGATTTAGTTTATCAAATCATAGTGGTTTTTACAAGTAGGTAATAGTACGGATATAGTTATTACTGTCCCTATCGGAACTTACTCCCGAAACAACTGTGTCATAGGTTGTCGTACACAGACAATTGGGTGTTACATTTAGTGCACCTTTGCCTGACCCTACGGGAACGAAAGGCGAAGGCGAATGATGTTGTTAAATAGTTCAGAAAAGCATTTTACCGAGGTCAATGGGGCACGGGGTAGGAATACCACAAGGCCACGACAAAGGGCGACCACACAAACAATCCTATAAAGTGTGTCGGACACGCAAAGCCCGGCCTTGCCCTTTCTAACGAGCTCGAGATAAACGCTGCACGCTACTCCGAAGTAATGATCTTGGATTATATGACATGACAAGTGATTTCACTTGCAAATGCGTGTGTGGACACAAATTGAGCGGATGAAAATTGTACCATGCAAACCCTTCACGCTTGGCAGCTTGCTCGCAGAAACCACAAAGAGTATAGCACATCAATGTATAGAGAATCTAGTTTTGAGGTGTACGTTTACTGTTCGCAGTATTTGTACAAACATATCGATTTCCTAACAACTGGTTAGACTATGTTCAAAGTGACAATAACCAGTTAAACGACCGCGTTATTGGCTGGTAATAGAAAGGTCGTAAGTTCAAATTGTACAGCGGTCGTCGGGCCTTGAGAGTTGAGTGCATTAAGTTGTACCATGTTGGAAGGGTTGCAAATATTTGCACGAACTCTTAGCATTGTTCGAAAATGCTAATAGGTATGGGTTTTATTATGTATTTATGTGCTGGAGAGCCATGCTTCGGTACGTATCGGTCGGCTCAACCGGAGTGATACCACTGCCTCACAGAAAACCGACGCAAAACAACCACAGCGTTGTGTTTCGCCGTATGAGATAGGTTACCGGTGAATCGATCTTTGCCTCTCCATATCTCCAAAACGCCAACAACGCACTTATTATCTACCGGAGTTGCGAGGGTCTATGGGCGGCGACGATTGCTTTGCATCAGGTAATCAGTCTGCTTGTTCGCCACCTTATCACGTAAATTAGCATAATTATCATAACATCCGAGATGACTATGAAAACTTTTTATAAACACAAGGATATGAAATAAAACCATATAATTTCCGCTTTTGATTTATTTTACATACATTGAATGTCCAATTGTATTTAAGTATTTCATTATAACGTATTCTTCTATTTGACGACAGTACCATCAAAGGGAAGAATAGATTATTACATTGACGCCGTAATATAAACGTCTATATATGTACATGTATGGGCACTTCGGTGCAAATAAACATTTGCAATGTGACTTAAATCTAAACAACTTGTTCGTTAAACTAAAAATAAGTCATGATTTATGAAATATAAAAAGCTACTTCTCTCTGTCTATACAAAATTAATCTCGTAGGACACTTATTTTATATGTAATATATACAGTACAAATGTCTACATACGTTTAATTATGTAACTAGCGATCAAGTTCATATCACCACGAGAGCCCATAGCTGGGCTAGCACTAAATACCGAATAGATATCACAAAAACATGGGAAATATAAAAGAAAAATATAAAATAAAGGTTAATACAGTCAGAATACAATAAATTGTTGCATTGAAAACGATAAAAACGTAGTCGCTTAACTTAACAATATTACACAGTTAATGAACAGTTATATTTTTCAAAGTGATATAAATTATTCAGTCACACGTAAATGTTATCAGATTTATTTTACTTTAACTTAATTATAAATCTAATCTACACTTTAAAGCTTCTTTCATAAACTTACTAGAGGGTTAAGTAGGAATGTACATGTAACTACGTAGGGCTTGCGACAAGCCTTTACGTGAATACGACGTCGGGAGATTTAGGTACTTACAACACAAACGAATTCCTCCGCACTTAAGGAGACATTTTATTTAGAAATTCCGTTAGTCTCTCCCGTTTTAATTATCACACAGTCTGTTCGTATAGAATTACTGCGAAATTGTTAGTTAACATAATTAAATGATTCAAGAAACCGATGTATAGTTCAACGTTGTTCTTTCGATCTTGTTACAAAGTTTTATGGAATTACTGAATACTATCGAAGTATTCCTATACGAACAAACTATCACAAAACATCTTTAATATAATATTTGTTTCATTTCATTTATAAAATACCACTCAAATCATTTCATATACGACGTAGAAATCTAATTTACGATAGCACAATAAAGTAGCTCGAGGGCGAAATTAAAACTAAATAAAGATGGCACCACCATCAACATAGACAAGGTATATAAATAATGAACCTTATTTAGAATTAGGGACGGCCACTACACAATGCATTCCTCGTACATTCAAGGGAAAAACTTCATATAGGAGAATTCATTGTTGAAACAATTTTCACATATAGCATTCATTTCGACCTAAACACATGGCAGTAGAGTCGAAAATTGGTTTATGAACTTTCGCATGTAAAAATATATTTGAACAATAATAAATTCAGGGTCAAGATTCGTAAATCAACTAACGTTTTAGATAAGATAACAAGCAAGGGATCGTCTCAGTCACAGTCGAGTTAGAACAATCAAAACTTGAGAGCTGGGATTAAGACTACTTGAGAACAAATGAACAAATTACTGGTTCACGGTAAAACTAAGTTTCGGAGGAGCAAAAAGGGACTTTGTATGGAGGAACAAAAATTTGAAAATTGAATAATTATGTTCTAATATTTCAATTTTTTTGTAAGCATAGAATATTCGAGGAAATAGCGAGATGTAACGCCGATTTAACAAAGTCTAAAAAGTTGTTTCCAACGAAATTTGAAGGGTCCACTACAATGATGAATGTTCGAAATTTCTTTAGGTCCTTAAGTCGAAAATGCTTGAACGCCTTACAATACAGGAATTATCTTTTAAAAGGTATTTGTATCAGTCCAATACTTGTTTTGAAGTGAAGGCAAAGGAGCTTGGGTACCTGGTTTTTTCTTAGAATTCAACATTAAAAAAATTTAATGCAAAGGAAATTTTTAACATTCATACCTATCATTGCAGTGAAGCCTTCATAATATATAAAACAAATTCCAAAACAAGACATATTGTGTCTATAAACATATTCTTTTGAAATCAAATTACATGTTCAATGTAGTTAATTATGTCATTTTTAACACAGTAAGCACGTAAAATCATTTTTAACAAAGTTTCTTAATGTTAAAAATGATTTTAGCGAAGTGTTTGGCACTATGTTAAAAAGGATTTTTAGTATTACGCTGTATTATAAGGATATAATTATAATATAGGAAACTGATTATACGTTAAATAACAAATTACTTTTTTGACATTGTTTTGAGGAAAATTATGAGGTTACTTGTCAAACCATTGTATTAATTTGTCTGCAAAAAATAATAGCTCGTTAGCTATATCTTTAATGATGTAATCACTTTTTATAAAAGTTTCATTACCTAAATAGTTTTAATGGATGTGTTCACAAATATTTTTCTCGTCTGTTAAACAAAATGATATTTTCCTTTTTTTGTGTGTTTAAGGCCATGTGAAAATAAATTGAGGAAGACTTCTTATTACAAAAGACAGATTTAATTATAGAAAAAAGTATTCTGAGGTTTTGTTTTTGTAAAAAAATTGCTTCATAATAATCACTGTGGTATTAAAATACCTGCTTCGTTTAACAGTTACAGAAAAGTTTATTTCTTTAGTTTTAAGTACAAGGTTAGATATTACGTACATAACCATTATAATACTTTTTTACATTTCTCATTTTTGTTTCACTCGTTAAATTTTAACTTTAAAGTTTTTTAATTGGTACCTACAATGTTTTCATAGACCAGACCAAGATGCAACAAATACGTTTCTATATAGTATCAGTAATAGAAAAGTTAAAATTCAGTGCGAAATTACATAAGCCCTCCGTTTTTATTGCATCAAGGGCACTAAATAACTGTTAAAGTAGCCATATTGAAAACAAATTCACTTTTAACGACTACGACGGCGTAAATAATTCACGTCTTGAGACAATTATTTTACATTTAACGACAATTAACATCGTATTCCTAACCTGATACAGTAAATTGTGTAGAATAACAATTAATTACCGTGGTTCTCAGTCTCAGTGAAGGCACTCGAATCTAAATCAATAAGGAGTCGAGCCGACAGATAGCGTTATTAACGTCCACTGAAGCGATATAATCGTTAAAAGTATCGCCAATTAAAATGAGATCGGATACCTCGGCCGTCGGTGTTTGGCGTCGGAGGGGAATTATTTTGTTGTTCGAAGTCCATTGCTCAGTGGTAGTGGGACAGCTTGCCAGGCCTCCGCGGCGGCGCCGTCTCGTACTCGTAGTAGTTGGACTGCGGTCGCACGCCCCCCTCTCTACAGGAGCGCTGTGAGTGGTAGCCACCCGCCCCTGCCCGACGACTGTCGTGTCAAAAACAAACATTAAGTCAAATTACGTTTGTTAAAATTCAACAACATTTGTGCAAGGTTCACAAACCTAACGAACTCTTCGTTTTTATTGTACCATTGAAACAAACTATGAATTTTGGAAATACCACTTAGGTAAAACAGAGCCATTAAAACTTAGTGAAATTGTTAATCAAGAGCTCGCTAGACTTTTTAATAACTAAGGTCTATTTAAGATTTGTCTAATGCAAAATTTACCAACTTAATGAAAATTAATTTCAACATCAACAAACAACTAGGTACTAATTAGCAGACACAGATAACTTGAATGGATATAAAAAATATGTGCTACATCTTAGAAGTAGTTGAAAAAATTATATTTTCCTGCTAAACTAACCTCGCAAGATTATCTTGGGGATTTTTTTTCTTAATTGAATGTTGAAACAGTTTTACTAAGAAAAGCGCTTACTGACTTGATTGATTTATGATTGCGTGGACTGTTCACTTAAAGTTTACGCTATGCAATAACTGTGAGTCATTCGATTTTTTGTGCGAAAGTGATAAAATTCTATTTCAACGTTGGTTAGGGCCTTTTTCATCACCGAGTAGAAAATAGAATAGAAGGAGCAGCCGTTTAATTATTATTATTTTTAAGTCATGTCTTTACCAATCACGGGACCACAGGGTCCCGGTCATTTGGAAGGCGTACGAGAGGCTGAACCCAACTGCGCAGAGGCCCTTTATACAACTTTATTCTAAATGAAATGGTACACAAACCAGAGACTATCCCTGTATGCACTGTGGAATTGCACCCAAGGAGAAACTCCGGTTAGATATTATTATTATTAAATTTTCATGGAATGTACTCGATATTGATAGAAAAAGAACCTTATTATTTTACCATTGCAATAGAAAAACCATATTAATTTTAAGTAGGTACCATTACAGCAACACCGACAGAGAGACATGTAAGGAGAATATTCAAAAACATTTCTTTACAAATTTTCAACAAAGTAGCAATTTACTAGGAATTGTTTAGCGAGCGTCTTTAGCAAAATGTTCCTAATCCTAATGCATTAAAGTCCAAGGTCACATGCTCACGTGTTTTGTTCTTAAGTATTTATCTGATTAGGTACCTACAAATGAATTTTAAAAGCCGGAAAATTTTATACAATTATTTTTTGATGACAAAAACTTAGAAACAAAAAACATACCTATTCATTAGGGTCTCAACGCTGAATAGCTTTACCTCAAAATATTATTAAAGACTGTTGTGGGTGACGCGTTTACCTACCTAGTTAAACACATCAATTTTCTAAGATTTTTCGTATGATATGATACAAAATAAAAGGCATTTTAAATTTAAAAAAAAATGTAAAACAAATATCTAAATAAATTGTTGCATCCAACTATATTTATACCGATTTTATGAAAAAGATAAGAAGAATTGTAATTTTTTACTTGAAAATAATATAAATAAGATTTGCAGACACAAGTTTTTTTTTTTTTTTGTAGAGAGCATGTTACCTTGAACCAAGCTTTACTACGGGTCTTACAAAGCACAAGCATCTTACCCACGCCCAGGAATTTCCCAAGTGAGATGGAAAATATCGTTACTTTAATAACATATCGTTATTACTAAAGCATTAACATTACATCTTTGTATAATTAAGTGGCTAACGTTAATATCAAAAAAACCATTAGAAATTATGATTAATTTTAACCTAAATAACGATTTTCACGGAAAATTGTCGTGCCTTCAGTTTCGTTTATCTAAGTCATTGAACATTTTGCTTTTCAAAATAGTAAAAGAAGCCTATACTTATGGTATCATCACGTCGTCAAAAACAACAACGATTAGACTTCACGTCAGATGGCGCCCTTGATGTTTTAAATCTTTCGCGTCCTTAAAATGTTTCGGCACTGCACATTAACGACTAAAACGTACAGTAAGTGTTAAATAATCAGAATATTCTATTCAAAAATATGTGTAGGAAACAGGTGTCATGTAGCAAACCTAACCTTTGTTTACTTAGAATAAAGGTTTTGATCTCCAATTAGCGAGTTAGTATGAAATGCAACTATGCAATTGTGGGCTAGAGTTAATAACTGTATAATAACCAAGGACCAGACTAGTAGCTAATCAATATTGTTTCCAAGTAATAAAACGTGTACACATTTACACAATCATATTTTATAAAGCATTCATTTAATTGGTTTTTATTCTACCGATTCTAATTGTTACCCTTTGTTGAGACACGTGTGTATTATATTATTCCGAGGCGCGCAAGAAAAAATGCTTATTAGATTTATCATAAGATCAAAATTTACTGGCGTACTCTGTGTAATTTAATGATTAATTAAACTATTCTTTAATAATCCTAAGGATTATATATAGGCTTTGTATACATTAAATAAACCTCAGCACGGCGAAATTTTGTTTCTAATTTTGTAACTAATCAAACAAAATTTATGTAAAACGCGCACGAGAAACTTTCGTCTTTACAATATATTTGAACGTTTGGCCAAAAATCTTTTTAATAGTAACGATTAAATATATTAAGTATGCGTTATCTACATGACAACACAACAGCGATGGTGAACAGACAGGCGACAGAGGTAGCGAGAAAGAAAAGAGACCAAAAGTTGCTCGTGCGTTCTAAATTGAACAATTTAAATATGGTCTTTACTAAAGAAACAACCGTTTTTTACACAATGATGGCTATCATTTTTATGCTCGCTAGATAGCGCTCAAGATTGACCAATATAGAAACACCAGCGTCATATTCAAACACGCTTTTCAGATATTTTTTTATAATTAGCCTTAAATCGACATGAGCGCCATCTGGCCAAAGGAAAAACTTAGCCCTCATTTTATTTAAAAAAAACGGAAATTTCGTAGATTACGACCTTTTATTATGTTTAAAGAATTATTTATCTATGATATTCACCTCTCTTCCTCTGCTTTGGCCCTCTGCGCGCTGACCTGTCTCCTCATCTGTCCTATCTGCACCTCGCTCAACTTCTCGCGACGCGCGCTGCAATATTATGAGCGGTTTCATTTACGAATTACGACCTTATTATCTTTGCAATACGGTTAAAGCAGATATGCTATGGCTTTTAAAAAGAAGCTTATAAAGATGAGTTCAAAGACAGCTTGATATTAAAAGACTGCACTAAGGCACCGCTTATCGACCGACTGAACCTAGTGATGTTACACTTTACTTACTTTAAATTCTGTTGTATTTCTTCATAGTTGACATAGTGACCGGTGGGACCCCACGCGCTGTCCATTCCCTGCTGTTTGAAAAAATAAAATTTTCTATACTAAATTATGGACTTAGTCAAAATTAACTTGATAAGTTATATTCATGTTTGAGATCCACGCTTCGAAGCGACGGCCGGCAGGACATCTATTGGTATCCAAACATTAAAATTACTAACTAAATTCTGTCAATAACAATATTGAGTGTGATCTATATGCTGCATTCCTTATCTAAGTTCACGCGTTCATTTCTATCTCGGATGTCTTAAAGGCATGTCAAACCTATTGTGCTCCTAGTTAGTAGATAACGCCATATTGTGAGAACAAATAATAAAAATGAAAGTCTATTGTTGCAACTGGCGTTTTCTGATACAACGAAATACACGCACAAACCGTTCCTTCAACGACACATCCTTTAAAAGACCAGCGAGTAAAGCTTGCGATGCCTTTCTCTGTATAAAAAGTTACTGAAGACTCAATAACCTTACTTAGAAGACCAGAAACGTACTGACAAGTAATCTTTAGTTACAGAAGTCTAAAGAAGTAAATAACTTACCGAGTGTTGTTGATGTGGTGGAGCTCTGTATGGCGGGGCGCGTCGCTCGGACTTATGCGCGCGGTCGCCGCTTCCACTGCTGCCTTGACGCGAGTGGGATACTTCCGATCTGATCGGAATATATTATTTGTTATTAGTTTACACTTGCATTACATTTATGACGTTAGGCTTTCAACAAGCTGATTTACGTGGGTGTCGTTATTATTATGAGCCCCTACCTAAGCTTGAAACTAGTCGAGTTGAATTAAGTGAATCAAGAATCTTGAATGAAGTTAATTTTTTTAATCTTTAATTATTCAAACGCCATTTTTTTTCTATCGTGTTTCGAATTACCAATGTTGAAAGGTTAATTATTTATTAATACAGAAACGACAGTGACCTAAAATGATTACGCCTCTATTTTCTCACAAGTAATGAAATGAATTATCAATGAAGGAGTTTCTACGTTCACCATCGGTTAATGATGATGGAAGAAATATACCATACCTCTGCTGTGGTTTGGTGGTAGGTTCTTCTTCTTTCTCCCTCTCGTCTATTCTGTTATGTCGCTCTAACGCTTCTCTTGACAACGACTTCTCTGAAGCTCTGCCCGGCTGTGATCTGCCGTAAACTTCTGTTTCTGGCTTCTTGTGAGGTTTTCCTATCCTGTTGGTATAGGTACATGAAAATAAGATTGTTGTTTAGGTGGTCACAGAGACCGAGTGTAGTAGAAAATCGGTTTAAACAAAAAATTATTGACTTTTATTTTTTCATAATAATCTATCTAAATATACAAATAATAATACTGTAATGATAGTGTGAATTTTTAATTTAAAATCAAAATATTATAATATAAAAATATAACATGTGTAGAATAAAATTATGTCCAATTTTAGCAGTAGGCTTAGACATACTGTGGATTTTATTACAATCAAACCTTGGCCTGTGTAACATGCCAAAAATACATGTATGTACATATATGCATTTAACTACATTACCCCCTCCAGATCCTACCCTATTCGAAAATCATTACCCTACATGTTACGCAGTCGGGTAAAAAATGACAACCGCGTAGGTAAAAGGGTCGGTCGGCAGGTCGTTTCGTACCTCTTCAGAGAATTAAAATAATTAGATTTGTCTACCCGGAATTGAAAAATTTTTTAGTATCAACATTAACAACGTAGAAAACACGGATTTATGACGAATCTACATCATAAACATGAATTTGCATGTTATAATGAAGCGAAGGTGTAATTTAACGAGTAGCGTGTTTTACAAGCTTACGCAATATATTTAATTAAAGTAACTTAATTAGTGTACACGCGCATATTAAATTTATTTTGTTTTATTTTATCACTGCATTAATTACGACAGTTAAACAAAAACGTGAGAGCGTATCCAAACTTTATTTAGTCACTTTTTGCACAAGATACAAATTGTTATAGGCAATAACTTTGTCTCATTAAAATGTGGATCCGCTTTAATATTTAAACTCAAGGATTTTATCGGAAACTTCTAGCTTTTCGCTCATTCAGCAGTCTACGATGCTTTAGCGTGTTTTAAAAAAAGTTTAAGCGGTTTAGGAACAATGGGTTTCACTGTCACTTTCAAGTCGAAAATCATGCAAATTACTGAACCGATTTTGCTGGAACTTAGTACTCAATTGCAATAGATATCAATATAATTAAATTCTGTAAGAAAGATTAAAAGATATTTCTGGTAATTATTTAATGTCATAAAGAGGTAAAAGTTGTAAGTTTGCATGTAGGGGGTAATCTTTGGAACCGCTAGTCGGATTTCCAAAAATTCTTTGACTTATTGATAGCTACAATGTTACCGAGTGCTATAGGCTATAAAACATCACGCTACAATCAAATGGGGCTGTGCAGCGAGTGAAACCGCGCGGGAGTAGCTAGTATTAAATAATTGTGATAAATCATTAGCTTCCACAACTTGATACTAGAATTCAAGTGCACGCCAGTATTATGCGATAGCCTGTCTTGTCTTGCGTCTATATCTGCCTGATATTTTAGTTTAAAACATGACATAAGTACATACTTTTTACGGAATTAAGTAGTTTTGACGATATCTATATTGAATTGAACGTCGTGTGAGTTCACGATATTATACATTGTGTATCGACTGGCGTAACAACCTTACTCGTTTTAATTAAACATTGTTTTCATACGAAAATAGTACTAGCCAGTTTTTATACCCCTTCTTCTTCTTCTGATTCTTTGGGAATCTATAAACTCACTAAGACTTTGTAATTATTTTGCTAAACAGCAAAAACACTGGAAAACAAGGCTACATTCAATTCAAGAATAACCTCAGTTGATGATTGCTATATAAACTTTTACCTATACAGATCAAATCCAAACGCTACAAACTGAGAGAAAGAGCAGGATAGTTACTCTTTATTTTGTCGTCATCATAAAGTGGTTGTAAGGCGTACACAAATTATAAAACTTACCTAAACATAGTTGATAAAGACTTGAGTATGGATGGCTTCTTGTGTGAGAGAGACGATTGTTGCGGCGAGCCTCTGATCATGTCGGGTCCGTGGTGGTCGTCCGTTAACCACGTTTTTAAAGCTGTAAGAACAGACATGCAATTATTTATTTGCCTTAAATGGGTGATCTTGATGGCTATGAGAGACGGAATGTTGACCTAAGTTCCATGCGTAGAGTAAAGCAAAAATACTCAAGTAAATCCAAGTTTCACTTCGGTTTTCTGTGTGAGTCCATTGTCACTAGTCAGAATCGGAATCATTGCCAAAAATGTAGCAATTTAAAACCATCTTCGCTCCATACAAATATGATAGTTTACGTCAATTTTACTATGAATTTAGTGTCATGTGTATGTTGTGGTATCATATTATTTACGTAAAAATACGATTATTAAGCATGATATCGTAAAATTTATGAATGAACGAGTGATTATTTATAAGTATTTATATTTTGAATTGTGTAAATTATTAAGTCATTTGGACTAGCAACAACAACTAAAGTTTGCTTAGCCCTTTCATTTATCGAATGTTGTAGTGGCATGAAGCGATTAGGTACCATTAGTCAAATATTTGAGCTTCTGACTTAACATAACAACAACAAAAACATTAACGTTGCAGACAAAAATGAACCTTAATTACCTTTTAAAGTAGACAAATAATCAGATATTTTTGATTCAAAATATTAATAGACGTGGGAGCTTAAAAATAAGGAATATTTTACTGTAGCCTAGATACATTAACATCATTGTATGATAAATAGTTATTGTGTAAAGATTCGGTACTCACGTGGGTGTGCTCGTGCATAAATAGGTTCGTTGCGAGGATTTCTCTGCGTCTCCTGTATTGCTGTTTGTAAGGATTCTAAACTTGACGATTTTCTCATTCCTAATGACGGACCCACTTGTAATGCTGCAATCAAAAAATATAAATTATGAGAATGTTTATTCAAGTTGAAAATAACATTGGACCTAATGTGTCTCCTTGAGGAAGTTTGGGTACACCATTTTTTCTTGTACATTGGTCGAGATTTTGTCACAACACCAACTTGTAATGTGTTTATACAAATATGCCACAGCACTAATAGGTACGCTTAAAGACACATCACGCCTAAATATGTTCATAAACATATTATATTACTCAGCCACTAAACATTAACCTGCTCTTTATAAGCACTATTCAACATTCAAATATCGAACGGCAAAAAAAAGATCAAAAAATATTTGAATTAAAATAATTATACACTTACCATTGATAGCTTTGGTCTCTTTGATTTTCTTGTAAGTGCCAGTACTCTTGGCGTCTAGCGCGGCGTGTCGCTTCTCGGACATGGACCGGCGGCCCACAGCGTCGCGACTGAACCCAGCTCCACTTTCACTGCCAGACTCACCGCCACACCCACTTCCACTGCCCCTGTGGAAATATAATTAAATTAGTTTTATGTAAATTTCCATTAATTTAAAATTCTAAAAGTATGAAGAAAAAGAGTATGACGGAAAGGAAGACTCAATGGCTTAAGCGCTTTTCTACGATTGTGAAGATGTTTTTATAATGGGGGTCGAGAAAAATGCCAAACACCTGGACTATTTCAAAATCTATTAGATCTATATACTTAAACATTTTAAAACATATGCTGAAACTAAATGCTCTGCTTTACTCAAGAATCAAACAAGAATGTTTATAGTCTGCGTTAGGCCAATGACATAGTTACTTATATGAAACAGAAAGATTAATATAAAACTTTGTTTAGTACTGATACAACTTTAGTAAATATGCTAAAGAACTCACCGCGTGGTTCCATAATCCTCTTCAATGATAACATTATGATGCGCAGGCGGCGACCGTGGCATGTGTACGTGTCCCAAATTATGTCTATAGTGGTGACCATTCGTTACCGGAGCATCAATCTGAGTTGCCATGTAATAACTTTCATTTCTTAGCCCAGTCAGTCGGTCAATTACAGGGTTCCAACCATCAAGCCTACTCCATTCAAAGCTATCTCTTTTATTATCATGTGGAGGTATATCTTTGTCTCTTTCTAAATAACCTTTACTATCATCCGACTGATTTGAGACCCAACTATTGTTGTTATTTATAGTTATAATCGAAGCATGTTTCTTGCTGCCCCTACCGTCGTGGCTATCAAAGCCCTCGTTTTGGTTGGCATCATATTTTTGGTTGAAATTATCTACTGGTTTGTTCTCTTTGTCGCTGCTCGCGTTGTATATGACAGTGTTGTAGTTCTGTGAGTTTTCGTTTGAGTTTGTTGTGTCGTTGCCGTTTGGAGGCGTGTCGTCCTTCCACCTTGCTAGGCTGTCCATACTGTCTGTTGACAAAATATAAAGACCTGTTACCATGGTTTCAGATATTTTAATTAGAAAGTTGTACATGTATAAAATATGCACATGTCAATAATGCTCAAAATTTAATTTACTCGCATGGGATGGGCACGAAAATCCCTTTTTACAGAGGGAGTCTTAATTTAGCAATGATGACGATTAAAGATTATATTTTTACAATCACTGCAATCACCATCATCAATAATAAACTATTTACCCCCTTTACTTGGTACAGTTAATCCTTATCTGTCGTTTCTTGGAGGGCAGTATTAAGATAACCGCCTTGTGTGTCACCTACGGTAGCAAAGGATTTGCCTTCAATAATTTTCTGTGAGCAATCAAAGGCTTAAAGGCACTGTAAGAACAAATATTTTTTCAGGTCTACATACCAGTCCTCCTGGCGATGGTGAGAGAGATGCTCCCGGAGCGCTGTGGTCGTGCGTGCAGTAGAGCTCGCCGTAACGTCTCCATTGCCTCAGCGTTACTCTGCCCTACTAGTGAAACGCCGTTCACTGATAGCAACTGGTCATTTGTATGTAACCTGTAAGTGGAAATGTGAATTTTATTTTCAATTTATGTAGGGTTATTTTTCTTAAATAATGACTAAACAAATTTAAGATGTCTGTACTTTTAGACAATCTTGAAGTGCTTGACAACATATATTATTGTTTTTCTTATTTTGTTTAAACCTGGTATCCACCAGTGCTTGTAAAAATATCACTCCGCTGTGTGGTGTATATAATTATACCAAACATCACTCACCTCCCATCCCTAGACGCCGCACCGCCATGTAGCACAGACTTGATGAAGATGCCCAAGTCCTGGGGATCAGGTCCAACAGTAACCTTCCCCTTGACACTGATGCCCAGGCCTGCCTTCTCCGAGTCGTGCACCGGCACGTCCAGCCGAAGTATTAGTCGGTTGCGGAGACCAAGGATCTGAGAAAGAAAGGACTAATGAAATGTTTCTATTAAAAAAAGGAAAGAATGAATGCTTAATTTCTGTTCAAAAATGTTGTACCAACATATTATTACTATTTTCTTTTACTTTTATTTAGGAAGGGATCGGCAGAGATAAAAGTTTTGCTAAGTTATAGAAGAACAAGTAAGAAGAAGGTGAAGAAGACACTACTAATTATCAAGATATTCTGAAATTGTAAAGACCCAGAAGATCTTTCCTCGACAACCGAATTTCTCGACCAAGATAACAATAAACTACAAACTTTTCATTATGAACATGACATTTAAATTGAATAGAATCACGTGAAGTTATATTATAAAGCAATCAAAAATCAACTTACAGAATTGGACGAAGAGTTTAAAGCGTCTTGCAGTGCGCTGTCGTTGCTATTATCCTTATGCAGCAGATCATCTTTCGACGAGCTCTTAGGTATCCTGCCTCGCATGGAACTGTTCACGTTGTTTTGGTTTATCGCGTTCACTATACTCGACACGCGACCGTTTTCCGAAGGTTTAGGAGCTTCAACTGGATTCATTGGCGGTCCTATCGCTTTTTCCACGTATTTCGTCGGACTTTGTTGGGGTTCTACCCTCTGTAATATATGAAAAATCACATTTTAATTTAATAGGATAAGGAATATTTAAAAAAAATAATGAAATTTTCAAATTAAGTGTGTCTACCTATCTGTTTTGGGCCGGGAATATTTTTCGAAGAGTTTTTAATTAAATGTTAACAACAGTTGTTTTAATATTTCCTTTCTGATTTTGAACGCCATGTCGGACAATGAAGCCCGACGCCAGCGGAGGATTAACAGACTTCAAAAGTTTTTGGCGGCAGTTAAAGGTTTAAACGGAGTCTCATGAGCCGATGGGTCACCTAATGGAAAACCGCCTTAAAAGTACGTTACCGGCCTCCGGCATTTGTCAGGACCCTAGGACCCTTGGACCCTCACCCCATCTATACTAATAATATAAAGCTAGAGAGTTTGTTTGAACGCGCTAATCTCCGGAACTACTGGTTCGATTTGGACAATCCTTTTCTGTTTTAAGTCCATTTATCGAGAAAGGTTATATATAGGTTATAAAACATCACACTAGGAACTGTAGCAATGGGTGAAACCGCGCGAGAGTAGCAAGTGTGTGATATTTTGGGCGAATTTTTATGCCATATTTAAATTTAAAAGGAAAATAACTAATTACGTACCTGTGTCCTATTGGGCACGGTTCTCTCGATGACTATCTCGACGGTGGAGTCGGTGGGAGTGTTCCGCAGTAACGTGACGACTTGTTGCTGCGTGAGGCCGGACACCGACACCTTGTTCACCGACACCAACTTGTCGCCCGCGCGCAGTCTGCCGTCTGTCACTGCCGCGCCCTGAGACAATACAAAATGTTCGTTATACATAATTATGTAATTATTTTCTACACTAAGCTTATCAGTCTCAGTAGAAATTAAGACGTAACCTTTTAGAGATCTAATATTATTAAATTATGGAATGTCTGGTTTTTGAAATACGGTAGTTTCCAACTAGTCAAATTCAATACTTTACTTTATTTTGAGTCATGACGTCATAGAATGCTTGCGTCAGATAGCTTACTTATTTCTTAAAAAGTTGCTAAAAAGTATCTAAAATATAGTGTATCGATCAATCGATGAACAAAAAAAGTATAGTTATTTTTGTATATTTTATTGTATTGAAACGTCAAATTTATTTATCTTTGACCTAGGAGACTACCCAATTTTTCTTAAAAAAAAAATTTAATACGTCAGGATTTTTACCTGTGTCGTCGGTACATCATACAAATGACATTGAGACACGGAAAACAATTTGTGGATCACACAAAGCATTCTCGCTAGAAGTAACAGTCACTTGCTATACTTTACACAGAAGTCAGTTGCGCCAACCATGTTGGCATTCTGCATTTATAGACGTTTTGTATCGTCATATATTTTACGTGGCTCTCTAAATAGCTTTTGTTTGTTGATTAAGTTGTCACCGAGGAAAATATATAGATTTTTTTTTGATTATTCGTTTTTTTTTTTTGTAAAATATACATGATTGTCGTTAATCTTTACACGTTCTTTTAGAATCTAAGATTTTAAAAATATAGTTGGTAATTTATTAATATTGTATAATGGTATCACCGGGTTTAATCATTAAAAAACATAAGAACATAATAAAATGATAAAACACAATAAACATACCTTAGGTAATATATTTTTGATATAAATAGGACAATGCCCACCAGTGGGATTGTCTCTCGTAGTGATTGTGAAGCCGAGGCCTTTCTCTCCTTTCACTAAGGTAACGGCTACTGTTTGTGTGGCGCCCGACACCGGCTTACTGCTGGGACTTACTGGGACTTCCATACCGGATATCGCACGTTCACTACTGCCTCCTATAAAAGTAATAGGTAAAGGATTAGGTTCAGTAAGAAAAAATTTAGCTCATATGAAATAGTGAAGCCAATATCAAGAGTAAAACACGTATTTGTAACATTTTTTTAGTTCTGAAAGTGTGTGGGAGAGAATTCTTCGGCACGAATGGGCCAGCTCAACCGGAGTGATACAACGGCCTCACAGAAAATTGGAGTGAAGCAACCCTTACGTTATGTTTCGCCGTATGAGTGAGGTTACCGGAGGCCCAATTCTTGCCCCATCCCCTCATTCTCATATATCCTATTCTTAAATCTCTAATAACTCACTAGAGATCGGCGAGTGTCCATTAACGGTGTTGCCAACCGTCTACTCGTTTGCCGACAGTTTAACGATTTTACCCCCTAACAAGCGAATTTCTACAGTTATAAATTCCACATTAAGTACCTTCAGGTAAGAGATCAAGAGGCCGTTCTTGCACAGGGTGTACACTCGCTACATTGTTGACTCCTGACACCCACCGGAGCATATCCTCTACCCTGAAAATGTAAAAAAAAACATTTATTTAAATTGTTTTTAGAACTTTTTTTTGTAAAGTACACGAGCGCCATCTGACAACGGTAAAACAAAAAAAGGAAAACTTCAAAGTACTTATTTTGTTTTATCATTGTTATTTGGAATGCCGCAATTGTTGGAACTGTTTCTTACAATATCAATGCGTAACAGATTAATTGTTTGATTGAGTCGTTAGAGTAGTAGTGTCCTGTAAACAAACACACAATAGAGACTATAAATGGGTGACTTAAAATAACTTTCATTCGATAGTAGAATCGATATCTACATTACGATAACAATGGAGGTAATCGATTACTTATCGATGGTGTTATCTAGTTAATGTTTTCTCTGAATTTGCAACACTAACCTCGGTTAGTCACCCCTGAAATTAGGTTAAAGTGGATACGATATTCATAGAATCAGAGGGTATCACTTAAGCTGTCTGCTAATTATGTGATAGGGAGTTGACTCACAGTCATTCCAACTCTAAAATCCATTGAGAAAACTGTCGTTGTAATTTGTGATGTATTTATAAGATTTAATTCAAAAGGGAAAGAGTCTAAAACAAAATTATCTAATTTTTTATTTTCTTTTAGAAATTGTTGCCCCACACGAGGATTTTATCCTATATCGTGGGTCAACAAACAACAACAAAATACGTACAATTTCACATACCGTGACACCCAGAACCGGAACAACAATTTTTGGATCACACAAAGAGTGAAGTGCGGCAATCGAACCCGCGACACTTTGCACGGCAGCCAGTTGCCCAGCCTCCGCACCAACCGTGCAGTTAGATTTTTATGAAGTTTTACAAACATGGATTGATTTAACATTTGATTTGTGTTACCGACCTATGATTCTGGTGGTTGGTAACAGGCATGTCTTGTCCTAATGGTTCTCTCCGGGCGTCTCTCGGTAGACTCTTGCTGCCATAGCTCTGGACCCGCTCTGCTGCGTCCAACCACACACCGCTACTGGAAAAACAATTTTAACATGAGGATTTCATTTTCAACACGTCCTAATTTCTTATACTTTGACAATCGAATGCGAGGACACATTACAGATGAGATGTTATACCAATAATTATAAGATATCACTTCTAATAAGCTTTAAATTTACAACTATTATACATAAAATTACTTTCCGCTTGGGCCGCTAATGTAGAAAATGGCGTTTTTCCGCCACTGTCAAGTGTAAAAAGTATTTAAATAAATAAGTGTGGGAGAGCCATGCTTCGGCCTCACAGAAAACCGGCGTGAAACAATCACTGCGTTGGGTTTCGCCGTGTGAGTGAAGCTACCGGAGGCCCAACTCGTCACCTTCCCCAATCCCTCCCTAGTCCTAAATCTCCAAATCCCTAATTCTTCAAAAGGTCGGCAACGCACTCGTAATTCCACCGCTGCGGGTGTCCATGAGCTGATTACTTACCATGAGGCTAATCCGTCTACTCGTGTACCGACCCTTTACATAAAAATAAATAAATACCTAAATTAATCTGCTATCATTTCTCATACTGTTATATGATGTTATATGAATAATTATTTATTTGCTAGATATTCCAAATTAATATATGTAGTTGAACATATACTTTAACACTTAATAGAGGAAGAAATAATGTAATAAATGATAAACTGTGAATAATTAAAGCGCAAGTAATTAGACACACGTCTTTCCATAAAATGATAGCCATGAAATTAATTAGTTAAATTTATGCGAAAAATTCACGACGGAACGTTGGTTTTTTTTCTTTATTTAACAAAATTACGGAAATAATTATATTAAGTGTTTTTTGTTGTTGAGAACAATTTAGAGCGATTACGGTTACTGTGATTTTCTTTAAAGAATTTACGCTACCAAATTGCCGGTACAATTTTTATTTGCGCTTTTAAAATTTAGTTGCATTAGAAGAAAAAAAGTACGTCGTAGAAAAATCCTCCAAACTGTTTCCAATTCGTAAACAATAAATAAATACAGTCGTATGAGTCAAAATTATCATCTAAAACTTAATTATCAATAGCTAATTGCGCAGGAGATATTGTTGTGCTAAAGGCTTTACAATTACCAAAAATTATGATGCAACCAATTTCTTCTTACCGTGTTTTTTGAAACTGCGATTTAATAAAGGAAATTCAGTGGGTCTGGTGTTAGTTTGTTTTACGGTAGCGCGATCGAGACGTTTATGAAGTTCGGCTCTCTGATTGGTCTTCTTCTGAGTTAACCGACCAAACAATAAGCTAAACGCGGTAAATAAAAGTTTAGATCGCGTAAATGAAATGCAAACTCGCACTAAACACACAGAATTCGAGAAGATCTTCATTATGAGGACAAGTACTACCAGGGAGAGGGTCATACCCGAACCTACTTGATTGACAATATAGACGAAAACATCAATAAGCGTTTAGTGTTCAGCGCGCGCCTCATACGAGTCAATAGACCACAATAGAAATACACATCGAGGCCCTACAGGGCCAGATAAAGTTACAGCGGCCTTAGCCTAAAGCAGGAGAAGGAACTGTAGTTCGTCCAGTTTGACACTCCCTCTCGCCCCAGGCCAGAGAACTCATTTCATAATTTTCCACTCACAAAAATCAACTTCTCTATCAATAGATAATTCAACAGCCAACTTACCCAGGCCCAGAGAACTGCATTGATAGGCGATTAGATTGCCTTTGGAAGTGTTGTCCGTGCCGGTCAACGCCTACATCAGGCGGCCGGCCGTCCGGTAACGGATGCACCTTTTGCGTGACTCTGCTACTGTCGTCGCGACACACCACCGCGGCCGACCACCGCTTTGTTTGTTCTGATACCTGTAATTATAAAAGCCATTATTGTATACAACATATTTTCATTACAATGGGTTAAGTAAGAATAGTAACTATTGTTCATAGTAATCAATCTGCTAGTTAAATAGGGCGACACACAGACACAACTTTAAAAACTGTGTTCTAAATTCTTCTTTACTTATTTAACTATGTTTTATCGTATTAGTTTGATGTCTAAGGCTCAAGATTCCTTTGCCATAGAAGACAAAATAACACTTATAGTTTTAAATTCGAATATAATTATATTAGACGCTTATATATATGCGAAAACAAAATCAAAACATGCATTTATGGTGGCTATACTATAGTAGGTAAGTTACAACAAATATGTTAGCAACCCTACAAGTCAATGACGACGAACATGAATTATGTATAAATTAATCCTATTCAGGACAAATATTATTATAACGATCTATCTGAATAAGCATTGTTCCATTTCCGTACAAACATTCGTCGATTAATTGATCTATCTTAGTCGATCAATCGAAGAGATTATAAAGCGTCCCTGAATAACAATTAAGGAGATGTTTGTTGTTTTAATTCGACAAATTTTTAGCATACAACAACATTTTTTCTTAACAACAGAGCAGTTGTTTTAAGCTTTATTTATTGTTACAAAAATTTTACTACAAACAGTACCTAATGAATTTTAAATGGACAACAGAATTACTTAACATACACATATCACCCAGACCGAGAACAAAAACGCGACACGTTGCGCGACAGTCGGTTGTTAACCCAGCCTCCACGCCAACCGCGCATTCAATATATTATTGATAAGTCAAAATGACATAAAATGACATAGAAAATCTTTCTTAAACTAATAAATACCGGTCTCTGAGGCGGTAGGGTATCTTGGTGTAGCGTGGGTTCACTCCCGCGCCGTACCTGCAGCCCATTCGCTCCATCTTCCAAGTCTGCCGCCCCGACTTCAACGCAAGAGTCGGTGTCAGGAACGCGCATACTGCCGCCGACGCCGCCACCTCCCTGAAGGCAAATGCAACCTTATTAAATTGCAATCATCATATTCATCACATATCAATTAAAAACACATTAAAGTTCATTGATTTCGTTGCATAATGTCAAGGTGATATGTTACCACTATTCCACTTACTGCCAGATAAATTGATTGGAAATTATATATTGTCTCCGAAATACAGAATAGTTTTAACGAATAATAAGCATTTTAACCTATAATAGAGGAGGATTTCCAAGAAACTTTTCTCTACGACTGATCGTGTCCGAATGATCTATTGTCTGTTGAACTAAATGACAAAACAAATGGCAATCGGAATTTAAATTGTTTTTTTTTTCAATAGAATAAGTAGTATTTCAATCTTTAACATATTTATCAAAAACATTTTTGCCAGGGACGAAATAGAATTGTTTCCGTTGGATTTATTCTCGTGTTTTTTATCTTATTCAACTTACTTGACTTGATCTACCACACACACAAACACACATCTTTGCCTCATAGATCAGCTTAATCACAATTTCGAATCATGCTCTTGTAATAATTACAGGCATTACGAATATGTTAGTTATACATTGTATCGCATTCTACTAAACTACTGGACCGTGTCGGATTTCAATAATCAATTATGGGATTCTATACAAATGGCTGTTCTCTGTGCATTGAAGTGAATCACTCTCCAATGCAGATTGCAGGAGATACGATCATGCAAACTTTATGCACGATGCGACAATGCAGATTTTTATGCGATAAGAGACTTAATTGCTATTAGTTTGCTGTATAAAAGACTTTGTTTATCCTTTAAGATGGTTTTTAGGGGTAGTTTATACTGATATTATTTTAAAGTTCATAATTCATCATTTACCTATTCATTTATCTCTCTTTTATATGTTCTAAAACTATCAGAAGAGGTATTCAGTTATCATCGTATATTAAAAGACGACAGATTTTTTTTTCATTATGGCATAGCTCGTCAAACTAGCATATATGGATCACCTGGTGGTAAGCGAAAGCGCCGCCCATGGACATCGGTAACACCAAGGGAGTTACAAGATCGAAGAAGATTTTGTAAGTTCTTAGTGATTTGAAGATTGGACTGGATTGATTGAGGTTACCGACACTCTCACGTCACGGCGAAACACAACGCAAACGTCGTTTCACGTCGGTATTCACAAATTGAAATACTTCTAGTAAAAAACACTATCTACTAGAACACTACCTAGGTGTTAAATTCAGTAAAGTCGTATGCTTAATTTCGCACCACAAATATAATCTTTATAAGTACCTATTTACTTAATTAGAACATAAGAATCAATTTAAAATCATCCAGGACATAAAGCAGCAAAGTTCAAAAACCACCTTACAATCATATTGTTAAAGTCTATATTTAAACTTTTAACTAGATATAAACGTATTCGCTCTGGTTGCGAGCTCTTTAATCCTGTTAGCCCAGTTTCAGCTTGTTATCTACTAAATAAGTACCTATGTACTACGTAAATGGTGTTCTGACTTAGGTACGAAACTATGGACGCTAGCACATTAAGATATCCTAGACTTATCAAGATATTTTGAACTTTATTGCAAAACGATAAAGTATAAAATGTATTAAAGGTCAACAGTGTGGGATATGTTTACGTGCGGCCGTACATGTAGAGGCGTGAATGCAGGCATTCGTGCCGCCCGTTATATGAGTGAATCATACGGCGTTTGTTATCGTTTATTATTATACCTACGTACCTACCTATGTTTTAACTACGTAAGCGAATTAGGCTGGACTACACACCCGAATTAGTTTTTCAGATTAGGGATTCAAATTCAGAATTCTATAACACTGGCGCATAGAATTATTGCAATATTGTACACTACGAACGCCTTATCATCATCGTCATCAGCCCATAAGTGCCCACTGCTGAGCAAAAGCCTCTTCTCACACGGAGAAGGTTTGAGCATTAATCACAACGCTTGCTCAATGCGGGTTGGCGATTTCAAACTTATAATTAGAAATTATAAAGTCTAGGTTTCCTCACGATGTTTACCTTCACCGTTTGTCGTATGACGAACGAATAGAATGTTAGGTTTTTTTCGTTCGAAAAAAATACCTATGTGCGTTCCTGATCTAGAAAACTATCGTATGCGGCCGGCCTAAGGTTCACTTTATTCTTTGCAAATGTGTTGTTTTTAATACGACAGGTTTGGTATTTGGTTTGTGGACTCATCAGCGCGAAATATTACGTAATTTGGTCGCTGAACACACAATTGCTTATCTAGGTACTTACATGTAGGTAAAGACTTAGTACGGTATTTATAACACAACGCCTCCCAGAGGTAATCAGAGGCTTTAGAGTACGTTCTATTTACCCTTTCAGTCTTTTGGACTTAAGATTCCGTTGTGAGGATGAGGCAAAGGTCAACATCAATGCCAAATTCAGATAATTCAAGTCCTATTTTATCCATCGACTATCACTAGGTATACGAGACTTCGATATAAATTCCTTTAATTTTCAATTGAACTCATTCATAAAACACGTAAGTAATTATTTTAGTAGGCACTCTAGTCAGCATTGATTTTAATTTAAATATTTACCTACTAGATACTATCGCGCGGATTCACCCGCTCACAGCTTCGTTTGATCGTAGCGTGATGTTTTATTGCCTATAGCACTCAGGGACATTGTAGCTATCTATCCGACCAGGCAGCGGTTCCAAAGATTACCCCCTACATACAAACCTACAAACTAAGAAATTTGACCTCTTTATAATATTACAAGTAGATAACTCACCCTATTTGGAGTTTGTTCACAAAAACACTGGGAGAAACACAAACCCATTTTGAAATTACAATTAAACGATGGTCTAGAGTCCTTTGAGACCTTTGTTGTTACTGACATGTCACGAAATGACTTTATTACGACACAAGAAATAATTTTCCTAACTCTACAGGTTTCGACACGACCCCGTACCGAACTTTTGACTGATTGAACGAATTCAACGAAACCCGCGCTTTCCTTTTTTTTTAATCTTCTCTTCATGTGCCTATGACACTTGTACATTCAGCCTATTATTTTTTGTATGATTTCTTTTTGATTGATAATAGTGGTTGGTTTTTTTTATATAATAATTAGTATATGGATTTCATTACAGGTAATTTTATTTTACTTACATACTAGGTACAATGTATTTTTTTATTATGAATTTTACACCACCAGATAATTATTTGAATTTAGAATAGAAAAAAAGACTTAATGCCACCCTTGTTATTTTAGGTGTGACGTCACTGACGTGTCATTTGTTTTGTATTTTGCTTTGCCTTTCCTGTGATTTATAAATTCATTTAGCACGGTCCCTAATTTCTTTCTAGCAGTAGCTAATGACGTATGTACTTACGTAGTATACGACATCGTTTTTATTGCGATATGTCAAAATGCAACTTTTTTTATGATCTTGATATCAGTTCGCAACTTCAATTTAAATAAAAAAAGAGCGTTCTAGCGAACATTTCCGTCAAGTCTGACATCTTAGACAAAAATATTAATGACGAGTATCGATTATTAAAACGTACGCTTGAGTGCAAATGAGAATGTTTGGTTCTATGCTTGGTTAGGCTCATTGCTTGTTTATATGTATAAATATGAAAATGAGGAATGCGTGACTATTTCATTAAATAAATGCTCGAGTCTCTCAGCACCATGAGGCACTTTTATTTGTCATACTTGTTGTACTTAAAATAAAATTTGAATTACTTACCCGAAACATGTCAGGGGAGGCGGTGCCAGCTGAAGATCCACTAGCGCCATCTGCTTGCGCAGCGCGAGGTTGTGGCGCTTGACTGGTACACTCAGCTGTGAGAGTTTCTCTGTCATCCGCCACATCCCGTACGCGGTCGTCTGGGTCCAGAATCCCTCCCGAACTGGCACGCAACGCTCTTACTCCCACCCATGTCTCTGGACCCTGGAAAAAAAACAATGTTATTTTTCTGAAGCAATTTGAAATTCGAAAGAACATGGTTTTGAATGGCACTCAAATAGTTTAGTACGCGCCCATAGCGTCTTTTGACAATACACGGAAAATTCTTATGTCATAACTGTATCCAAACTCTTTTAAAACGCTTAAATATTTCCAGTTAGTGTGGAAAACATTAGAATATTTGAATCACATGAACATCATTCATTAAACGCGCATGGGATTACGAAACTTGCAAAATTTTGAATAAGACGTCACACGTTCGTATCACAGGTGACACCTAACGGCTAAAAACAGTAAAACTTATTTAAAAAAATTATTGAAGTAACTGTAGTAATGTGCGAAAATGCATTGTGTTAGTTTCACGAATTTGTTTGTTTTTCTTACGAGGAGATAATAGATAGGAACGGTTAACGTTCCCACGCTGCGCAGAAGCCGCGAGCGTCATTCAACTTGCTTTACACTCGGTATTCCTTGTCTGTTTGTTCGTCCGTCTTTGTTTGCCTGTCACCAAAGTTCGCATTCAATGATATCAAAAGACTTTATGCGAAGATCAGTCTTAAAACGCAAATCATTCAATAGACGTGCCTACAATACGATTATACAACCTCCGAATGATTATTATTTCTGAAGAAAAAGTTTTTTCAAAAATGGTTTTCAATAGTATAAAACCTGTATGTAAATACTTAAGCTATATAAATCATTTTACAAAGGCTTGTGGGAGGTTTCTTACAGAGTTTTCAATCATAGAATACAATTAAGCCTAAATTTAAAACCATACCCATGAGACGGACTTTCGCTCTGGCTTAGTAGCGGCCAACCGCGCCAACTTCTTCAATCTGGGCGGAGGCACGGGACATGAAGACGCCCCACCATCCATTGCACTGCCATCCGACTTCGCACTATACCACTCGTCACCTCTTCATCTTAATTCTCACCATCACAATAACAAATCGATTTCACTAACTTCGTTTATCGAAACCGTGAAACGAGATCATTTCTTGATACTACAAAAAGAATAAGGATCTAATTTCGTGACTGTTTCATTAAAAGAAAACAACTGAACCGTTGAAGTTATAGTTTGCGTTTGATGTTTAGGAGTGCTGAGGCAGGTCAGTGGCGCGGGTAAAGCCTTGACCTTCGCGGTCCACTGACCAAACACAGAATACTCACGCGCCGTGCACCAGATGCTGCGCCCATAAGTGACGTTCTACAACATTATGCCTTTAAAGTTCAATTTTATCTGGAGCACGTGCCTACTATGGTTCGTAATAAACAAGAATTTTAACGCCACTAACGGAGCTATTTTTATCCTTAAACGAATAAAATTGTATTTATTTAACTGTACATGTTGTCATTTAGCGTTGTTGCCTATAAACATTTACGATTGAAATGACCTAGCTAACACTTCCAAAATCGTAAAGTGTCTGATACTTAGAATGCTGAAATGAAACGTGAAGCAAAAGACAATTTGAACTTATAAATATCCATGTTTTAAGAAACATTCAGTTACGAAACTCCAGCCAACAGGATCACTTTGAAATGACAATTGAAGGTGTAACCTGCTTTAGAACTACGCATGATCAGTGGTCAGTATTCCAAGAATGTGTTGTACACAAGTGGCGCCGGCACACGCGATCCATTTACCTTCGGGGAAGACTTACTCGGACGTAACAGAAAAACGATATTTGTCGACAAACATACGGTGTTACTGCGTGACAACACGCACACAGACGACGAACAAGGAAGAATATTGCATTGTGTATGTGGATGTGGATGTGATCATTAAAGGCTACAGTTTCTATGCTCTGGGTAGGTACTCCCAGTAATGACTATTCATGAACTATTATCTAAGCCGACCGATATGTCCATGCCCTAAAGTGGTATAAGCCAACGGAAATGCACACCTTTATGGTGTGTGACGTGTGCGCCGAATGTTAAATGGTCCACGTTGCGTCAATTGTTCATCAAAGTATAGGTACCTACCAATGTTCAGCATTGTTTTAATTGAAAAGTACAACAAATGCTAATTGGTCGATAACTGAATTGAAGCGCTTCCTCTGTCTAACAGATAGTAACTTGAATGTCTCATAATGTGTTTACTTTCATTGATAGGTTTATTAATGAAGTAGTTTCGTTCATTATTCTTGCTAATTTATTTACCAATTTTGTGGTCGTTGTCGACGATATGACAAACCGGTTTTCTAAACTTGAAAAAATTCAATGGTTGTCAACATTAATCGTTACCTGAACACTTTCCTTCTGGTAAATGCTGAGAAAAGCACGATTTTCTATGTGTTCATGATAAGATAAAAACCTTGAGTGAATTTTATACAAACACGCAAGGAAAGTCGAGACGATATTTATGATATACATAATGTTCTATGAACAGAAGCACGAAATGAATTTATAATCAAGAATGAACAAAAACAAATACCTTCACTAGTTCACTGCCGTAATTAACTGTAATTAATGTGCCCCTGATACATTTTAATGGTTTTTTGTAGTTTATTACAAGTACTAGTCTCTGAGTAACTTGGCATGATCTATGATCAATCTATGACAAGTTTGAGTATATTTTCACAAGTGAAGTGGTCATCTATGCGGCAAATAGTGTAAACATGTCCACTTCAAGGCAACTCGCGAAATTGTTATGCAAATACAAGATTGCATTCATCCTACCGTTTACATTTAGTATTTACCTTTGAGCAGTGAGGTAAGTGAAGCCTTTGTAACATTTGTGTAGTGTAAGCCGGTCTAGACTCCGGACTGTAACATCGTCTTTTGTTATGCATACTGATATTTCAATTTCTTTAAGATTTGGTCTCGGCCTCCTTGGTGACTGATAAACCGCAGACGATCGATTTCAATTTAAAATAAGAGTTCTAAATTCAAATTTTTGTGTTTGGCGTTTGCAAAGAAATGTTCTTTAAGTTTTCCTTTGAATATTGAGTAAGGAAAATACTGAATGAATTAGTACACGAAGAGTTAATGAAAAAAGTCGCGTGTTCCTGCCATTGCAAGGTGAAAAATAGTCGTTAACAATGTAACTGCTGAGGTATATGAATAGTTTAAGATACGTACACATACTAAATAGCTGTACAGACTAGGTCATTGCCTACGAGAAATAAGTATTAATTTTATCCATTCTATTCGCTAAAATTTGTTCGACTGATACGGCGATTTTTAAAGCCTACGCTTATCGCTTTGATTAAAAACCAGGCGTTCATTATCTTTTTTAAGAATACATAATTATTTTTAGCCTTATGCAGACACTATAACTTCATGAAAGTGAAGAGATATTGTCTTTTCAATTTGCACACATGCACAGTCACAGTCCAGTTGTTTTCCTTTTTTCTCGTGTTTTTGTACACATAATTTCGACCGCAGATTATGAAATACAAAATGGCACAAAATAATATTTTAAATACTCATTATAATCACGCACACTGGGTATTTTTCACAGAAATATTTTTCTTTATCGCGGTTTTAAAGCGCGGGCAGAATCGACGGTCGCGCAGCGTCGCGGCACAACTACTACTGAAGTTCGTCCGTCTGTCGATTAGAAAGATCTTCCACAATAACCGCAAATAAAATTGTACAGAACCTCTAAATAAATTTCAAGGTTTGTAATACAAAAAGTTAAGTACAACCTTACGTAACGGTCAGCATTCAATATCAACATTATTACAATAATATTGTTATAATAATACTTTTACACAACAAGGAAATTTTGCTGGCAACATTTATCAAATTTATCACATTTTTAATTTCATGCCTTTATGGCACAATAAAGTTTTATCGGATCGCAAATTATCTTACGTTGATCATTTAATTCGCGAATATTTTCTTTGAAATTCGTTTCATATCGAAAATTCGATTTCATAGAATTAAACTCTCTGGATTTATTGTATCAACGTACCTACAACAATGAATTAAATAATAGATGGATTTATTGGAATAAAAAAGGTAGTAAGTAAATACTTATAGGTATTCGATTTAATTCAGAACAAAGCCAATGCTCAATCACCTGATAATTTTACACTTAGTTACAGCCATCTGTTATGCAGCTAATCACACTGTGTGACACACACACACAGACAAATTTTATTGTTTTCCAAAATATTATTATTATTTCTTTGCTTATAAATTGTCCCTTTTGATTCACTCTAAAAAGGTCTAGATCAAGACAGAAATTAAAATCTTCTAGCGAATAATAAAGAAAATGATTACATTTACGTAATTTAAAACTAAAACAGTCGGCACAAAACGTTTGGTTCCATAAATAACGGTATGATAATGACTGCAGTATCAATATCAACCCACGTACTTTACTACACATTTACACCTAACTTTTTAGAGGTTTTAGGCATCCTAAACGGAAGAAAATAATCTCCAACTAATGATCGATCGCCATCTTTGATTGATAAGTCTATGGTCGGTATTTGTTTATGGAATTTATGAATAATAGACATTATAACAGGAATTACCATAAAGGTGTTTCTAATCTTTTTTACAAATATTTTTTTATTTCGTTTTACGCACACCAACTTTCTTATCGCATGATGGTAGGCAGTCGGCATTGCCAGTAGAAAGGACATCCGTAACACTAGAGGAGACAAGTCGTGCGTTGCTAACCCTTTGGGGGTTAGGGGTTTATGATGGGGATTTGATGATTAGCTGTATTTGTATCACGCTTTTTTTTTGTTAGGCTGTGGTACAACTCCTGTCAAGTAGATTCGTCCCGAAGCAAGAGTCTCCCACATTTTGACTTTTGACATTTACATAACTAAGTACTAGACATTTTGTGCATATTGTGTAAAGAGATGTTTAAGATATGTGAACTTGGATTAAGGATTTAAACAATCTACCATAGGTGTAAAGCCTTTAAAAACACTCACATAATACTTTAGAAAATCTTAATATTTTTAAGGGCTTCGTTGTAATCCGATTATTGGCTTAGAATAAGTCGGTCAATGAGAAGGCTC